CAGCCATAAAATGCTTTGACTCAGCAAAGTATGCATTGGTTTTACTTATTATTTAAATCTATGCAGAATGATTAGTTAGATAAGTTAAATTTAAACTACTCTTTAATACTTGGTATTAAATTTTGCTTGAAAAACAAGAACAAGAAATCTCCCCCCCCATTTGTTTTTATGATGTTAAACATAAACATTAATCTAATTATGGTACTGTATAGTTGCCATTCTAAACATATTAATTAACATAAGTCAGCATTATTATTCCTTATGAAAATATTTATTAAAAATATTGAGCTGAATAATGTATCTAGTTACAAAAATAGTATTTAGCAATGTGGATTATTTTTCTAAGGAATTTACTTAACTCTGATAGTATTTGTTATTTTGACTTTTAAGTTTTTCTCTGTGTTTATAAAAAGTGCATTAGATTTAAAACACACACACTATTTCCTAATTTACCTTTCTACACTGAGTGGTAGATTAAAGAACTGACATGACTAGTGTGTTGTATTTAAGCTTCCCTTTGCTGCTTGCTGCACATATAACAATGTTGTTCTTTCTTTGACACAGACCCAGACAAAGGCTGAGGGTAGCAAGGAAGCAGACAGCACGCCTCCAGTAGTGGCCCCCGCCTGGCTCCAGGCTTTGTAAACAGTAACATCCCAGGCTCCTACAAGGCAGACAGCCGCCCCGGTCTGATCTGCATTCAGGATGTGCTTGCTTGTACAAGCCCAGCCATTGCACACAGGCCTACATAACAGTGTTTACATTTGGCTGAGAATTTAACCGAGAGAAAGAACTAATAGGGAATGAAAAGAGTTTTATTAGTGCAGGAGGAGTAAAATATTTCAAGTATCGTATATACCCAAATATAGCATATGTAAAATTTTTAAAAAGATTATTTAAAAGAAACAACAACAAAAATTAGGAGGTTTTTGTTTTGTTTTAGTTTCAAGGCCTCTTGTGTTACATACATATGTGAATACACATAGAAATATTTTTTCCTGGCAATTTTAGGGGATCTCATATTTTTAGACCACATGACATAGCCTAGAAAGTTTTAAATTCATAATGTTTAATCCTAGGTATGATTTTTAACATACTGAAAAAGTCTATTTTAATATTTTTATCCTCTTGATTACATGTCTTAATAACTCATTTCAGAATGAGTTAATGTAAGACTGTTGGCTTTTGGGGATGAATTTGGGAATGAAAGCAATGAATTCTGAGCTTCTAAAACACATAAAAGATGTATTCTGAATTTTGGAAATAGAAGAATCTTAAAAGCCATTTAGTACAACTACTTTCTGCAGTCTAATGTATTTTAATAATAGACCTATAGAAACAGGACAGCAGACAACATAAAAAATGTACTCATTGTAGGCACTCAAGAAAGCATAATGGGTGAATGGGATTTACTGCATGATAAAATCCTTCAAATACCATTTAGTTGCTGTCAATAAGAAATGTACTTCAAAAAAAATCTAAATGCTGGTACTGTTTAGGAAAATGTAGCAGGTTTATTTATAGTTATGAAGTTGAACTGTTGAAACTTGTTCACTGAAGTATTTTAACTTGCATTAATGCTGTGTTTCCCTGAATTTATACTGAAAATTCACATGAAAATGAGAAAACAGCCACCTGTTAACTTCTGTGTGCTGTTTTTTTTTTCCTACTTACAACTATACTTTAGTTACATTTTGATCCTATTGGGGGATTGGGGAGAATTAATGGTCGCAACTACTCTTAGCAGGACAGAATTTTTTCTCCCCAAAGGAATGAAATGAGAATAATGAAATGGAAGAGAATGAAATACTTCCCATCACAGTGGGTTCTTTTTTTTTTTTTTTTTAAAGATTTATTTTATTTTTATTGGAAAGGCAGATATACAGAGAGGAGAGACAGAGAGGAAGATCTTCCTTCCAATGATTCACTCCCCAAGTGAGCTCAATGGTCGATACTATGCCGATCCGAAGCCAGGAGCCTCTTCCGGGTCTCCCACATGGGTGCAGGATCCCAAAGCTTTGGGCCGTCCTCGATTGCTTTCCTGGGCCACAGGCAGGGAGCTGGATGGGAAGCGGGGCTGCCGGGATTAGAACCGGCACCCATATAGGATCCCGGGCGTGCAAGACAAGGACCTCAACCACTGTGCCATCGCGCCGGGCCCATCACAGTGGATTCTTAAACATTTTCTCTAGAAATGTAGTATACTAGCTGGATTCCTTCTGGTATAATTACTGTATGTTTGGCTTAGCTACTACATGACTTGCTATCTGCAGAGAGGCTAATCAGGTAGTGTTCTCTTGCCTTCCGCAAACATGACTGAACCCTGGACATGATCTGTTTTGAAGTCCTGGGCAGTTTCTCATACTAGATGCCAAAAGGGAAGTTTGCCAATCAGTAAACTACCGATAAGATCTAATTTTCCAGAATACTGCTTACTAGACCTGTAGTGATGAGGTTTCTTGAACTTTCTTGAAGAACATACTCTTACGAGTGATTGCTGTAAGCAGTTGGATTTTGGGTGCTAGACCATCCACTGATCTTGAGGCAGTGTGTTTCCTGTGAGCCATGATACAGGGATCTCCTTCTTTCCCTTTTGCTTTGAGGCTCAGCAAACTAGAGGAGATGCTGTTGGTTTATTTTAGGGATACAGAAGCAAGGATCTGGAGACAAGTATGTAGCTTGCTGGTTGGGGCACAGTTCCATATCAGAGTGCCTAGATTGCTTGTCCAGGCCTTGGCTCCTGACTCCAGCTTCTCTTAATGCAACTTCAGGAGGTTGTGGTGATGACTCCCAGAGGGGAGACCTGGTTTGAGTTTCTGGCCCTTGTCTTGTGGACATTTGGTAAGTAGAAATCACAGGCAGGGGCTCTCTCTATCCATTAAGTAAATAAGTAATTTGAAAATACCTTTTGAAAAGTTAGAATCTTGGGCCTGGCATGGTAGCCTAGCACACGCTGGGATTCCATATGGGCGCCTGTTCTAATTGTGGCAGCCCCACTTCCCACCCAGCCCCCTGCTTGTGGCCTTCACTCTAAGACTTCCCCTCAGATGCTCAAGTTCCCTATATAAAATAATATTTGCTTATAACCCCTGTATATCTTTCCATATACTTTAAATCATCTCTAGAATACACTTCTAATACCTAGTACATGTAAATACTATGCAAATCACTGTTTTATACTGTATTGAGTAGGGGATAATGACAAAGTACCATGCTGTACCATGCTGAGTATAGCTACAACTATTGTAGGCTTAACTGTGTAGTGTACAAATGAGAGGAGAAGTGAACTATGATCAAACAAGTGCTGGACGAAGGAATGAGGGTTTGTGAAATGACTAATGGAGACTCAGAATGGTGTTCAATGTGGTAAATTCAAGTTTTGCTTTTTAAAATACAACTGAATATTTCCAATCTGATGTGTAGCCCACTAGTGAAGAGCCTGTGGGAACAGAGAGCTGACTTTATAGGTTTTGGTACTATTTATGGGTCAGGCATCTACTAGGGATCTTGGAACCTATCCCCTACGTGTGAGGACTACTAATTTTGACAATAATGTTAAAGGAAGATTAGGGAGCATTATGAAATATTTGTACATATCTTAGATAATCTATGTTTAATTTTGTATATCCATGTTGAAAATGAATTTTTTATGGCTTATCAAATTATAAAATGGATTGTGTGTTTTTAATGAGGTAAAATGACATGGAATTAATCAGGTTAAAATAATAGTTAGTGTATTTACACTGTGTGTAAATATCATCTGTATCTAGTCCCAAACATGTTCATCATTGCACAGGGAAAAATTTTATTTAAAGATTTGTTTTATTTATTTGAAAGGCAGAATTACTTAGAGCAATAGAGATGTTCTATGTGCTGATTCACTCTCTAAATGGCCATAGCAGCCAGAACTGGCCAAAGCCAGGAGCTTCTTTCTGGTTTCCTGTGTTGGGTGCAGGGAACCAAGCACTTGGGCCATTTTCTGCTGCTTTTCCAGGCACATTAACTGAATCAGAAGTAGAATAACTGGGACTCAAGCTGGCATCCATTTGGGCTACCAACATTATAGTTAGCTGACTGGTTATGATACAAAGCTGGCTCCACAGGGGAAATTTTGTATCAAATAGTTACTGTCTTTATTCTTCGTGTATGATCCCTGGCAACTACTTGTGTGCTTTCTGTCTCAATAGATTTGTCTATTCAGGATAGTGAATAGTTATTGAATCTATAGTCTTTCCTATATCTTTTGTATGGATGTCTGTATCTGTGTTTTATTTGTCCATTCAACACTTGACGAACATTGGTGTTGCCTCCCCTTGCTATGGTGAGTAGTAATCCTATGAATACTCCATAGAAGTCTTGTCCTGTCTCCGATAGGGCATTGAACAGTCAGCATCTTCGTTGCATGAAGGAGGATTTATTTACCTTTCCAGACTCTAAGTTTCCTAAGCTAGAATTTGCCCTCTGTCACATAGCTGTACCCTCTGGTACAGTCTTGATGCAGTGAATGCAAGAAGCTTGCACTGCTGGAACTGCTTCTCTGGAAGATTATTTGGTCATTCTGTTTGGTTTCCTCTTACCTCATTGGAAGTTCTTTGATTTTGTTTGAAATCTCTTCCTCCTCAGGAATCAGCTTAGTCCCTCCATGGCCATTTGTGGAGTGAGCCAGCATTTGTGACCCCTCTCTCTGTCTCTGCCTCTCCTCTATCTTTAATTTTGCCTTTGAAATAAATAAATCTTCTTAAAAATGTGATTCTAAAGTCTGTGGTCTTAAATGCTGTGCTATCACACGTATAAGTAAATTGCTTTTAGCCTTCTGGTTAAGGTCACAGGTAAGGTACATATAATTTGCAATCATCACAAATTGATTATTTTTTCATTTGCTTAGTGCAAAAAATGTTACTGATTGTATTACATATTGATACAGCTGTTCTAAAAGGTAGTCTGTTGGTATTTAACAAAATGTTTTTAAGATTAATATTTTTTTTTTAATTTGCTTTTAGGTCCACCTCATTCATTTCATCGAGATGAGACGATAATCATTGCTTTGGCATCGGTCTCCGTGTTAGCTGTTTTGATAGTTATCTTATGCTTTGGATACAGAATGTTAACAGGTAAAAGAAAAAAAAATTGCCACAGTTTGTCCTATCATTTGCTTACTATACTGCCGGAGTCCAGCTCCAGCTGAGTTCGGAACTTGCGAAGGGTGCGTGGATGAGGCGCAAAGAAAGAAAGAGACGGACCACTAGGAACTCTTGACCATCGTGGACGATGCACAAAAGCTGTCCGCTTTATTTATACAAAATCAGTCAAACTCTTGCTCAGGCTTTTTTAGGTCACACTCAAGTGGGGGGTTTCTAAAGATAACTCTGCCATTAGTTTCACCTAAGGCTAGGTTGCTATTCATCTGGCACCTGGCTAGGAAAAGGTTTTCAATAGATGATGCATATCAGTCAGTAGCACATTCCTACCACAATTACTTTACAGCTAGGTCTTGAGACAGTCAAGGAAGGAAGGGGCCTAAAAGATCAAAGAAAGAGGGAAAGAATAGATTCCCACTACACCTGAAGACCTTGATTAGCATAGGATCAAAAGTGGGGGTTAGCACCCTTGATTAGCATAGGATCAAAAGGGGGATGTAACACTCTTGATTAACATTGCTACAGGATGCAGCCCTAACAGCAATAACAGCTCTTTGGCTAAAAAACGGCACCAGCAACATTAGCTTCTAAGTTCCTATTGATATTTAACAGTAACTCCCGCAAAGGCAGACAATGCCTAAATAGATTACAGAATACTCAGCGGGGTTGTCCGGTGTCCATGCAAAGGGAGGCAGAGCTGCATTCAGGTGTTATAGAGACATCCACCGGGCCTTGCCACACAGCGGGAAGTTCCTTGCGACCTTCCCTGCAATAGAACCATACTCTTCACACCTTCCTGTCTTCCACACCCATCCCACAGACCCCAGCATTATGCTGTCTAATCAATTTATTTCTCCTTTAAAAATTGCCAGGCTGGGGTTAGTGTTTGGCTTTATGCTTAAGATGCCACTGTCCGATGTCAGCGAACTTTTGTATGTAATACTTGGGTTTGATACCCAACTCTGGCATCCGACTCCACCTGGGTTCTTGGCACTCGGGTTTGAGGCTTGGATTGTTCCTGCTGCCCTTCCACACCACCTCTCAAGGGCTTTGGGAAGTGAACTGATTGATAGGTTCTAACTCTCCCTTTCCTTCTCTCTCTCTCCCTCCTCCCACCAGGCCCTCTGGATAAACAAACAGTTAAACTAACACATAAAGAAAAAAAAATCTCTTGCTATATTAGCTCCCATCCTTATTGCTAACAAACATTTTTAATGAAAAGTTTCAGACTTTCACAAAATACCAACCACTGAACTTCAACAGTCATTACGATATTTTTCCATTAACATCTTCAGTCACTGTCTCCTGTGCCAGTTAATTTGAAGAATATCACAGTTACTATCAATAAATAATTTACTGTCTTCTTTGTAATGTAAGAACTTACAAAAATACATAAACTTAATGCCATTTTTATATCCTAAAAATAAAGCAGTATTCCTCAGAATCATCACATGTCCAATTTGTTTTCATAAAATAGGTATTATGGCCCATTTAAGATCCTACAACCCTTTTACTCACTTGGGTAAGTTTTAGAAAACCTTCTTTAAAGGATTTTTAGGGGCAGGCTCTTAGGCTTGTATCCCATATCAGAGTCATTAAATTCAATATGCAGTGCTTAATTCTTACTTCTGATTGCAGCCGCAGGAAGGTAGCATGCAATGCCTCTGGTCACTGGTTTTCTGCCAAGTATGTGAATGACCTGGATTGAGTTTCTGGTTCCTGACTTTGATCCTTATACTTAGGACCATTGTGGACATTTGGAAAATGACCAGTGGATGAAAGTATTTTTTTTTTGATGTCTCAAAATAAAATTTTGCAATTTTTCACAAAATTTTTTAGTTCACTTATTTGGGAGACAGAAGAAGAGACAGAAAGACAAAGTGAGAGCACAGGCCAGTGAGCTGACTCCTATCTATTGAATCATGGTTCATTTCCCAAATGCCCTCGGTGACCAGGACTGGACCAAATCCAGATCTGGAAGCCACAAACACTATCCAATTCTCTCACCTGGATTGCAGTAACTCCATTACTTGAACTATTATCTACCGTCTCCAAGGGTCTCCAGTAGCAGGAAAATGAAGTCAGAACCAAAGCCAGGTGTTTACACCTAGGTGCTCTGATATGGGAGGCAAGTTTCTCAAAAGGCAGAATAAATGCCAATCCTCGTTTTAAACTAAAACAATTTTAGGAAGCATCTGCTAAAATTCTTACCTTCATGCAATCCATTATTTATCTTTATAGATGATGATGACTAGTTAGTAATTTTCCTTCTATTTTTTATTAGGCATAAGTCTTGCCGAGAGCCTTCTACAGCCCTTCCCTGTACTATAATAGATAGTATAAAAAAGATCTTAATTTTACAAAAGCCACACATATGTGACTTCTTTGTCCCATTTCTACAGGAGACCGAAAACAAGGTCTTCACAGTATGAATATGATGGAGGCAGCAGCGTCAGAGCCCTCTCTTGACCTAGATAATTTGAAACTTTTGGAGGTAAGACTGCTCTTGGACTGCAGATTGTTGCTTCTGCTCGTACAGCCTATTTGAGACAAGGCTTTCATTAACCCATTTATTTATCCTATCTGTATTTATTATCAGTTTTGTTCTGAGGACTGTTCTAGGTACTGGGAATGTGAGCAGCCCCACAATTACACTCCTGCAGCTCGTATTCCAAAGAGGGAGGTAAACAAATAGATAATGTAGTTTCAAGTAGTAGTAAGAACCATGGATGAAAAAAACAAAGTTATTAAACAAAATTAATTTACAGAAAGAAATGACCATTACATGCAGATCTAAAGAGTATGGGGATAAAGACATGAAATTATGAGGAAAAATGTGCCAATAGTAAGTCCATGGTAAATGCCCAATAAATATTCCTTATCTGAGCATATGTAATATATTTTGTTGATACATATGGATATTACATATTTATTTCATGTAATTTTTTTTTGTAACATAAGCTATGTTAAAAGTCTTACCATGGGGCAGGACTAGCATCCGGCTTGTTGTACTTACATCCCATTTGGATGTAATTCACGTCCTGACTTCTGATAAGTTCCTTGTTTATGGCCTGGGAAAGTAGTACTGGGTGGCTCAAGTCTTTGGGCTCCTGCACCCACATGGGAAACCTGGGTAAAGCTCCTTGCTTTGCATTGACTTAGCTCTGGCCATTACAACTATTTAAGGAGTAAACCAGTGAATGGAGGACTTCTCTCGCTTTGTCTTTCCTTTCCTCTCTGTAAAATCTGAGTTTCAAATAAAAATTTTAAAAATTAAAAAATAGAAGTCTTATGGGGACAGTGTCATGGCTTAGTACGTTAAGTCTCTGCCTATAGTTCTGGCATCCCATGTTGGCACTGGTTTGAGTCCTAGTTGCTCTGCTCCCCTTCCTCCCCTTCTTAAGATTTATTTTTATTGGAAAGTCAGATATACAGAGAGGAAGAGAAACAAAGAGAAAGATCTTCTGTCCGCTAATTCACTTCCCAAGTGGCCACAACAGCCAGAGTTGAGCTGATCTGAAGCCAAGAGCCTGGAGCTTCTTCTGAGTCTCCTACACAGTTGGCAGGGTCCCAAGGTTTGGACCGTGCTTGACTGCTTTCCCAGGCCACAAGCAGAGGGTTGGATGGGAAGTGAGGCCTCTGGGATTAGAACTGGCATCCTTGACTGATGGAATCATGATTCCTTGTGAAGGAACTATGCTACTGTAGCAACGTGGAGAAAATCTGTTGGAGGGTGGGAATTTGGAGGGCGGGTGTGGGCGGGATTCCAGTCTCTACAAAATTGTACCATAAAACTGAAAAATCCAAAATAAAAATTTAACAACAACGGAAAAAATAACTGGTGCCCATATGGGATCCCAGGCAGGCAAGGACTTTAGCTGCCCCACTTTTTTTTTTAAAGGTTTATTTTATTTTTCATTACAAAGTCAGATATACAGAGAGGAGGAGAGACAGAGAGGAAGATCTTCCCTCTGATGATTCACTCCCCAAGTGAGTGCAATGTCCAGTGCTGCGCTGATCCGAAGCCAGGATCCAGGAACTTCTTCCAGGTGTCCCACACAGGTGTAGGGTCCCAAGGCTTTGGGCCATCCTTGACTGCTTTCCCAGGCCACAAGCATGGAGCTGGATGGGAAGCGGGGCTGCCGGGATTAGAACTGGCACCCACATGGGATCCTGGTGCATTTGAGGCTAGGACTTTAGCCACTAGATCATGGTGCCAGGCCCACCCCACCTTTTTAAGATTTTTTGTTGTTGTTGTTGAAAAAGCGTATTTACAGAAAGAAGGAGATACAGAAAGAAAGATCTTACATTTGCTGGTTCACTCCCCAAGTGGCTGCAATGGCCGGAGCTGAGCCAAACTAAAGCCAGGAGTTGCTCTACTTCTGATCCAGCTCCCTGCTGATGTGGCTAGGAACACAGTGAAAGATAACTTGTCCTTTGGACCGTGCACTTATGTGGGTGACCCAGAAGAAGCTCCAGACTCCTCTTTGGACTGGCCCGGCTGCAGCCATTACCAACATTTGGGGAGTGAACCCGCAGTTAGAAGATCTTTCTCTCTCTGCCCTTCTCACTGTATAAATTTGACTTTCAATTAATAATAAATCTTTAAAACCAAGAGTCTTACCATGTTTTTATAGTATGATTCCAAAAACATATACCAACAAATAATAGATATGATAGACTTCACTGTATAAAACATGTTATGTACTTTTTTGCTTTGAAAGAAAAGTAAAATAAACAGATAAAAGACAAATTTGGAACAGGTATTTCAATGTAACTGTATTATACTACAGCTTTTTAAAAGGACAGTCTGTAAGTTAAATTTTAACCTAGACTTAGTGAATGAAATGTAACAAACATCCTTAAGTAAGTAATAAGTCTGTTTGAATAAAAAAGAGAAATGAAGAGAATAAATCAGTTTTGTTGATTATTTGCATATTGAGTAATTTTTATTTTATCATTTGTGAATAGTGTATTGTGAAAAACATGAATTCTTGAAGTGTTTGTTTTCTTAGAAAACAGTTAACTTGACTGGAACCTTTCTGCACACTGGTCTCTAGGACACAAGTTCAAATCTCAGTTCAGATATTTTATCGTCTGCTAAAGTGTTCCATGCATACACTGTTTCCTCATTCTGACTTTGTACTTTTCAGGATTTTCTGTCTCACTTTCCAGCAGCTGTGGCCACTCCAAATTAGGTTCTCTGGTTCCTAGGGCCAGAAACATTATGGATTTTCTGTCATAGTTTTAGCTGTTCTGAAGAGAGCTGATTTCAGCCATCCTCAAGCTAAACGCCTTAGAAATAGATGGTTTGCCCCATGTCATTCTTTTCTTCCAAACCATATTGCCTTTTAAAATCTGCTGTTGTTTATTTTCCAATGCCTTTAGTTTGTGTGTGTGTGCGCGCACATGCAAAATTTATAGTTAGGTGCAGGGGGCTGCTGGGCCCAGTCATTCATTACTTCCTAAATCATAACAGAAACAGACTTTATTTAATGGTTTAGTAAACTATAAGCAATAAAGAGCTGAAGCATACTCTATTTATTTGTACTTCATTATTTAATAAGTTTCATATGCTCATCTATTAATACCTTGCTTTCTTTAAAACAAACTTACAGCTAATTGGCCGGGGTCGTTATGGAGCAGTTTATAAAGGTTCCTTAGATGAGCATCCAGTTGCTGTGAAAGTGTTTTCCTTTGCAAATCGTCAAAATTTCATCAATGAGAAGAACATTTACAGAGTGCCTTTGATGGAACATGACAACATCGCTCGCTTTATAGTTGGCGATGAGAGGGTCACAGCAGATGGACGCATGGAGTATTTGCTTGTGATGGAGTACTATCCCAATGTAAGTTCTTTGTAGAAACTAAATTGGTAAATATTTGTTGATCATACTTTCTTTTCTTTAATTTCTATTGGAAAATCAGATATACAGAGAAGAGGAGAGACAGAGAGAAAGATCTTCTGTCTGTTCATTCACTCCCCAAGTAAGCACAATGTCCAGTGCTGCGCTGATCTGAAGCGAGGAGCCAGAAGCTTCTTTTGGGTCTCCCGCATGGGTGCAGAGTCCCAAGGCTTTGGGCCATCCTCGATTGCTTTCCCAGGGCACAAGCAGAGAGCTGAGTGGGAAGCGGGCCTACTGGGATTAGAACTGGCACCCGTATGGGATCCTGGCATCTGCAAGTAAGGACTTCTGCCACTAGGCTACCGCGCCAGGCCCAATCAGACTTTCAAGTTGACTACTTTAACATAGAATACTGCTGGCTTGCAAACTGGTTATTAATGGGTTTGTAGTGAGCTAAGAAGCTCATGCCAGAATGAGAATTAACTGCATCATATACTAATTATCCTCCTCTGTCCCCACTTCCCTTTCCTTTGCAGCAAAACTTTCTACATAAGGAATTAGTTCTCTGATTGGAATTTGTAATGTGAGCTATGTTGTTAGAAATCAATAATAGTTTGCAGATAAGCATTTTGAGTACTACAAATGGACATAGTCCTTCCTTGGTATCCACAGGGATGATTGGCTTCAGGACAACCCCTACCAATACTGGGCATACATAAGTCTTAAATTAAATGAGATAATATTTGTATATGAACTTTGCATATCCTTCCATATACTTTAAATTATCTCTAGGGCACCTAGAATACCTAATACTATGTGAATGCTTTGTAACTAGATGTTGTATAGTATTGTTTAGGTAATAATGACAGGGAAAAAAGCCTGTACATGTCATACATATTCAGCATCAATCCAGATGTTGGATCCAGGGATGCAGAACTCTGATACGCAGAGGGTGAACTGTGTGTATACAAGTGTTTACAAAAGCCTTCTGTTTCCTACCTGTAAAACAAAACAGGGTAGTTTGTATTCACACTGATAAAAGATGTAGTTTTTCTATCTTTTCAAAAACATATTTACTTATCAGATAAGAGGAAGAGAAAGGGTGCGTAGGGGGCAAAAGAGACTAAAAGAGAGTCTTCCACTTGCTGGTTACACCCCGGATGACTGCAACAGCCAGGGTTAGACCAGGTTTCAAGACAAGAGGTGGGAACTTCATTTGGCCCTCCCAAGTAATGACAAATGCTGAAGTGCTTAAACCCTCATCTGCTGCTCCTGAGCAGGAAAACACTCCAGCTAGCATTCCAATATGGGATACAAGCATCCCAAGTGGCAATGTAACCCACTGTGCCACAGTTCCCATTCTGTTGGCTTGCTAGATCACTGAAGTACTGAAAAGAAAATAATCATGCAAAATTTTTAATGTTGTAAATATAAAAATTGATGTTAAAATTTTCCTTTCCATCCTCTCCTCTGTATACAGAAATGCCTTACTAAAAGTATTTCAGGATTCTGTAATATAATAATTCATTAGTTTTTTATGGAATTCTAACTAATGCAAATCCTTTATAAGATTTCTAATTTAACCTCTTTATGTGAAAGTAAGTTAATTCCACTTTTGGTGGGGGGGCATTTTTTCCCTCTGTCTAGGGATCTCTATGCAAGTATTTGAGTCTCCATACAAGTGACTGGGTAAGCTCTTGCCGTCTGGCTCATTCTGTGACTAGAGGACTGGCTTATCTTCACACGGAATTACCACGAGGAGGTAAGACAGTGAATAGGACATGAATAGGTTCAAAAATCACAAAGGGAAGCTTGAATTATGTCTCCAAAATAAGGTATAATTGATATTAGATATTTATTAAGGCCAACTGTTTGATAAAACCAACATGAGGAAGAAAAGTATCTGAAATGTAGCAGAAATGTTAAGAAGAACTTTAAGACTGTCAATTCTGAGTATTCTCCTTTCAAAGATATGTATGTGAGCAAACTTAGGGAATAATTCTCTTGATTCTAATTGCTGTCTTTGCATTTTATAGCCCATCATGGACCTTAGGTTCAGAAGCTCTATGTAGGCAGTTCTTTCCTTATATTTATCTTATTTAAATGAATTATAATGGAATATTCTTCTGTTTTGATATCACATCTTTATTCCATGTGTCTTTAAAATTAAAACCCAAATGTATTTTTGTATAGGCTAATTAAATGGAATTATGTTTGGCGCAGCCTGTTGATGTGGGGAGGAAGAATTGACAGTAACTTCAGTAAGAAGGATTTTGGTTTTTGTGCAGGAACCTAGGGAGACAGTGTAGGGTTGGGTTGACCATGCTGTGGCATTACCAGGACCTGAGGCTCCTATGTTTCTTTTCCACCATCCTTTATAAAGCTTTCATTTAAAAAATTACCTTATCATCCATCATGTTGAATTCTAGGCAGCGGGAAGAAGGAAGAGGAAGTAAAAGACTTGTTCCCTTGTACCTGCAGCAGTTCCACTGCTTTGCTTGTGTTTTACTTTCCAGATCTTGGGCCACACTCGGCTTCAACAGAAGCTGAGAATATGGATTTATTTGGCTGAGTGTCTGGACACCTCAACATTACTAGGTCCAGTTGCTAGGTAGGAAAGAGAATGCATGGTAGGGAGTCAGTGTTTGCCAGTGTTTAGAAATGGCAATTGTTATTGCTTGTCAAAACTGTAGTCTTCCTCAGTGTTCTTGCACATTTTTGCTGCTTGTTCTAAATCTCTTTATCAAACATTTGCTTTCTCACTTTATATCAGTATATACTTCATATCACAGGTGAGCCCTAAATTAGCTCTTCTGTGATAATCTGTCCCTGTATCTTCTTAAGCCTTCACCCCATACCACATTTTCCTGTCATACTGAAGCCCTGTCATCCTGTCATCTTTTTTAGTCTCTCCGGCATTTCTTTAGTTACGAGAACATTCATGTGCAATTTCTTAGGTCTTTGTTCCGCTGTGTTATAACATGGATCAGCTTTTCTAGCTGATGCTTCATATATAAGTTATTTCACCTGAATAATTTAACAGTTCATTTATCTTGCTTTTCCTGAATATAAAATTGACCTGTGTTACTGTCTTTGTCAGCAAGTTGATGCATTTTCTTTAGTGCTTTGTACATTAACCACTGGACTGTGTCCCTTTTCTCCTTCCTTTAGAAAGCTGGCTTAGCACAGAACTTAAAATATCCCAGTCTTTCTTTTTGAGGCTTGCAGGATTCAACAAGGTTTCAAGTCAAAATTGGCTGAAAGTATGGTTGTCATCAAAAACATGCATTTCTTTTAAACAGAGCTGTTAATTGTTTTTTCAGATTGTACTGTCACTTGATTTCTTTTTATCAAAGGAATCACTCTTTTTTGGCTAAATTAGCTCATGTAATCATCAGTTATCTTTTCAAAACTATCTAAAGACCACTGCATATAAAATATGTATAGTAGCTGTTTACATTTATGATTTTGTGTACTTAAAAGTATTTTCTTGTACACTTTTTTAAGACTTATTTTTATTTGGAAGGCAGAGTTACAGAGAGAAGAGAGACAGAGATCTATCTGCTAGTTAACTCCCCAAGTGACTATAATAGCCAAGAGTTGGGCTGGTTTGGAACCAGGGGGCTAAAGATTCTTGCCATGTGGCTGCAGGGCCCCAAGGACTTGAGCTATCCTCCACTGCCTTTCCAGACAGTTAGCAGCACACTGGATAGGAATAGAGCCTCTGAACTTGAACTAGTGCCATATGGGATGCAGGCACCACAGGTAGAGGCTTAGCACTGGGCCCATGTACAGTGTCTTAAAATACTAAAAAGTATTTATCCAGAAAATTAGATTTTTCCCAGTGTGTTCAGATGTAACTTTTTTGTGAAGACTATAAGTTGGTAGTAAGGAATAAAATTATTATCTATTAATAATAATAATGAGTTGAGCCTATTTACTTATCTATAATTAGTTCTCCCTATAAACTTTTTCTTGCAATAACAATAGTGCATGCTATTGCCAAAGAGAAATGTAATAAAAAAGGTTATTCAAACTTCACCTGAAAATTAATGTTCAGTAGTTTGTGCAGATCCAGGTCCTTCCTCTCTCTCTCTCTATTTCTCTTTCTGTGTGTGTGTGTGTGTGTGTGTGTGTGTGTGTGTGTGTGTGTGTGTGTACAGAGAGTAAACACATACACTTACCAAGATTAGAAAGATTATAGTGAATCCAAAGGAACTTAAGGGGGAAAAGTCATCTCTAAATGGTAGTCTCTCTTTCTCATTTATTTTCCCTGGTTTGTAATAGCAGAAAATATATTACCTTATGTTCCCTGCTTCCTGTCTCACAGACTTTTTGCACATTCTTCTCATTATTAGCTAGATTTACGCTAAAGTATAAAATCTTTTACTTTAAATGTTGATTTGGTATTTTACATTGTACATTTTCTATTGTTTCCTTACAGTTTTGTATATAAATGTTAGCCTAAGATTATGCCACCTATACTTACATCTGGTTTTATCAGAAGAAGAAATACGGTTCTTAGAGGAGCTTGGTAGGAGCCTGCTTGATATAACAGGGTTTGAAGACTGGAACAGGAAATGGATAAGGGAGAAAAGCAAGAAACAAGTGAACTTTCACATGAAGAAACTTGTTAACCATTATTTTTCTGCAAATTATACTGTTCATTGATTTTTTTAGTATCAGAGGAATTTCTTTCCTGTGTTACAGTTTGTTAAATTGCAGTTTAATGTCCAGTAATTGAGTAACATCTAAATACTGAGTCTACTTGTGCTATGGAGTTTTTATTTGTTTCCAGAGGTGGGGTTTCATTTAATGTTACACTGATACAGTCTCCTTATAGAGAGGGGAAGCAACATGGTGTTTCTTTATGAGAGCTTAAGTTAGATTCATTCTTTCATTCAGCAAGTGTTTATTATCTATTATGTTTCAGGTCTTTTAAATTCATGTGAAGCGTAATGCTGTTCTGGTTCTGAAAAAACAAAATACTTGTGTTCTCCCAATTAATTGTGAAACCATTTCTAGTTAGATGCAATGAACTGAGGAGCTAAGAAACATGGCCAAACCATAGGGCAGAACCGTGATGTACTGTAACAGGCTTGATTTGCAAAGCTATGGGAGAACAGTATAAGATTTATAGAAAAGTTTTCCATTGATTTGTTTTAAACGGGATGACTTTTTGGTGTTTATGCCACATACTGCTCTCTGTATTATCTCCTATTGCTGCCCTGAAGTTAATAGGAAAAATAGGTTGGTGTTAGAGTCCAAAGCAGCAGATTGTTTGCTGTTAGTTTCAGCTGAATGCCTAATGCTTTATTAACTGTATAGGTAGTGGGAATTATGTTGTAAAATATATTAGAAAGTAGTAATGACCACTTTGAAGTTTTGATTTTTGTGTCTTTTTTGTTATTAGAAAATTAACGGGAAGAAAACTAACATTTCTTCTATATTCAAGTATTTTACTGTGTTCATGTATTTCCTATTATCTAATATTTTTATTATTCCCCAAACAGATCATTATAAACCTGCAATTTCCCATAGAGACTTAAACAGCAGAAATGTCCTGGTGAAAAATGATGGTACCTGTGTTATTAGTGACTTTGGCTTGTCCATGAGGCTGACTGGAAACAGGCTCGTACGCCCAGGGGAGGAAGATAATGCAGCCATAAGTGAGGTAGGTGTATGCAAAATGTAGCATACTGACATGCTTTGAAATTATGAATTAACTACATTTAAAAGAATCCACTGCTCAGGACATTTATCTCTATATTCCAGCTATGGAATATTGGAACTTGTAAAATTTGTGAATACCAAAACTCTTGCATAAAGGCCTTAGTAAATTTCATCTGTTTATTTTGGAAATCACTGTCACCTCCTTTTTTTCTTTTTTCAAAGTTTTTATTAGTATTATTATTATTAGAAAAAGCAGAGTGTCAAGAAGGGGAGAGGAATACCAGTTTTTTTCATGTTTTGTTTACCCTATGAATGACCTCAGTGGCTAGATCTGAGCCATTTTGAAGCCAGGAGCCAGGAACTCTGTCCTGGTCTCCCACAGAGGATGCCGGGGCTCAGATACTTCCACTGCTTTCTCTGGCATGTTAGCAGGGAGCTGGATAGGAAGTTGAGTGACTAGGCTCAAACTATTCTAATTCATGATGTTGGCACCATAAGAAGGCACTTCACCCACAGTGCCACAATGCCAGTTTTTGCCAATTCACTCTTAAGGTTATTTGAAAGGCAGAACAAGAGAGGGAGAATGAATCAGTGAATCTTCATCTGCTGGCTCACTGTTCAGTGGCCTCAGTAAGAAAGGATGGCCCAAACCAAACACAGGAACCTGGAACTCAGCTTTGCAGAGCAGACGGGACTTGACTTGGGATGTTGGTGTCAGAAACAGAAGCTTTAAAAAAAAAAAAACAAACATTTTGTTGTTGTTGTTATTGGAAGGTAGATTTGCAGAAAGACCTTCTACCACTGGCTTACTCCCCAAATGGCCACAACAGCCAGAGCTAGCCAGATTAGCTGAGCTAAGCTGAAACCAGGAGCCAGGAGGTTTTTCCAGGTCTCCCATACAGGTGCAGGGTCTCCAGGCTTACAATCAATTTCTGTTGTTTTCCAGGCCATAAATAGGGAGCTGGATGAGAAGTGGAGCAACCATGACACAAACTGGTACCCATATGGAATTCCAGCACTTGGCGTGGAGGATTAGCCAGTTGAGCCAGTGCACCAGCTTCAGAAGTGGTAGCTTAAAGTGTTGTGCTACAATGCCAACTCTCTTTTTTAAAGCAAGAGAAAAGTAACCAGTGCCCACCTTGTGACACGCAGGTTAAACTGTCAGTTGCAACATTTGGCGTGCCCTGTGAATGCTGGTTCAAGTTGTTCAGCTGGTTCAGCTGTTCCACTTCCAATCAAGCTCACTGTTAGCTTGCCTAGGAAATCAACAGAACATGGTCCAAGTGCTTAGGCTCCTGTCACTCACATAGGAAACCCTGATGGAGTTTCTGGTTCCTCACTTTAACTTGGCCTGCTCCTGGGGAGTGAATTGGAAAACAGAAGAGCCTCATACTCTGTGTGTTTGTGTGTGTGTATAAATAACTCTGCCTTTCAAATAAATAAATTAATCTTTTTAAAAACACATAAAATTATTAAGTTTAAGGTAAGGCAGTACATCTTCCACCATTAGTGTAGAACATATCCTTCCCAGGGTTGGTGCCGTGGTGCATCAAGCTGATCCTCCACCTGCAGTGTCGGCATCCTGTATGGGTGCTGGTTTGTGTCGCAGTTGCTGCACTTCCCACCCAGCTCCCTGTTATGGCCTGGGAAGGCAGCAGAGCGTGTTTCTCTAGTCCTTGGGGGCCTGCATCCATGTGGGTGATTTGGCAGAAGCTCCTGGCTCTCAGCTTTGTATCAGCTCTGCTCTGGTCATTGTGGGCATTTGGCGAGTGAAACAACAGAAGGAAGTGCTCTCCCTGTAAAATTTGCCATTCAAATTTTCAAATACAAATAAATAATAAATGTTTTTTTAAGTCTGACAAAAAAACATACCCTTTCCAACTGTTTATCTCTCTGTTTGTCATTTAGTCTTCCAAATGAATAAATAAATCATCTTAGAGAAAAACAGATGAACAGAAATAGATGACTGGTTCACTCTCCAGATGCTTGCAACAGCCAGGAACTTAATCCAGGGCTCTTACATGGGTAGCAGGGAGCCAGCGATCTGAGCTTTCACCTGCTAGTTCCCTTGTTGGGCGTTAGCCTGAAACTGGAGTCAGGAGTGTGGCTGGAACTTAAATCCAGGCACTCTGATAAGTTACGCAAACATTCCAAGGGGCATCTTAAATGCTATCCCAAACCCTTACCCCTCTTAACCATTTTACATATTGGTACACATAAGGATGTCTATCTTACTCATTTTAATTTATAGTATTCACTAAAATAGATTTACCACAGTTTAATTATTCAGAGAAGGCATTTATAGAAAAAAATCAAGTACGAAGGCTCATTGACATGCTTAGGGTCCATGACTAAAGTTTATATATGTAACTTCTGATCTAATGTCTACTACCCTTTATAACATGCTCTATTTTGATTCTGAAAAATATCACTGATTATTAGGTTGGTACAATCAGATACATGGCACCAGAAGTGCTAGAAGGAGCTGTGAACCTAAGGGACTGTGAGTCGGCTTTGAAACAAGTAGACATGTATGCGCTTGGACTAATCTATTGGGAGATATTCATGAGATGTACAGACCTCTTCCCAGGTAAGAATTGCTCTCAGAAGTTCACAGATTTTGGAGTGTAGCAATTTTATTTTTCTATTTATGTTAATATAATTTCTATGCAATAATCTTTGTACTTTCACTTAAACCTTTAGTTTATTGCCATCTAGTGTTCAGAAACATATGCTGAAGGATGTAAGTCAGAAAGTTGCTTTTTGTATTGTTGTTTTTTTGTTTCTTTTGTAAAGATTTTTTTTTTCCATTGGAAAGTCAGATTTACAGAGAGAAGGAAAGAGAGAGAAAGAGCCTCCAGCAACTGGTTCACTCCCCAAGTGGCCAAAACAGCTGGAGCTGAGCTAATCTGAAGCCAGGAGCCTTGCCTGAGTCTCCCATGCAGGTTCAGAGTCCCAAGGCCCTGAATCATTCTTGATTGCCTTCCCAGACAACAAGCAGGAAACTGGATCGGAAGTGGGGCTACCAGGATTAGAACTGGCACTCATATGGGATCCCAGTGCGTGCGAGGCGAGGACTTTAGCCGCTAGGCTACTGCACTAGGCCCTATCAGTGAACACTTTTTACTTCCTGCTTACTTTCTTTCCTATTCTTCGTGTATTCCTTTTCAAGAATATTCAACATTTATGAATGCTTGTTTGATGAGGCTTACTTGAAATAATCAAATGGATTTATAGGATATTTTTCATTGTTTGGATTATACCACCTTATTTAAAGCTTTAACTACAAGTGGATTACATTTTTTTTTGTGGTGCTCTTGCTGTACAAAATGGTTCGACATGTAGTCTCTTATAGGAATATCAATGAAAGGAATCAGCTTTGGGAAAATTTATGAAATTAAGCTAGTTAATGAAAATATTAATAGTGGTATTGGACTGTTTTACCTTAAAGACATTAAACATTAATTTATAATTCTAAAGTATAATTAAGTAGGATAGCGATTATTGGGGACTACATTGTGGTGGGCAGGTTAGGACAGTGCTTGCTATGCCAGCTTCCTGTATGGGTGTGAGTTTGAGTTGTTGCTTCGCTTCCAGTCCAGCTGTCTGCTGATTAGGAAAGCAGTGGGACTTGGCCCTAACGGTTTGTGCTTGTACATGCGTGTGGATGACCTGGATGAAGTTCCTAGATCCTGACTAGAAACTGGCTCAACCCTGGCTGTCATGGCCGTTTGGGTAGTGAACCAGCATGTGGAGGACAGCTTCCTTTCTCTGATTCAGCTTTCAAGTAAAATGAATAAATGTTTTTTTAAAAATATGATTATTGAGAGCCCGGCGCGATGGCGCAGTGGTTAGGGTCCTCGCCTTGCACACCCGGGATCCCATATGGGCGCTGGTTCTAATCCCAGCAGCCCCGCTTCCCATCCAGCTCCCTGCCTGTGGCTCGGGAAAGCAGTTGAGGACGGCCCAAAGCTTTGGGACCCTGCACCCGCGTGGGAGACCCGAAGAAGTTCCTGGTTCCCGGCTTCGGATCGGCATAGTATCGGCCCGTTGCGCTCATTTGGGGAGTAAATGATCGGACGGAAGATCTTCCTCTCTGTCTCTCCTCTCTGTATATCCGCCTTTCCAATAAAAATAAAAATAAATCTTTAAAAAAATTTTTAAAATGATTATTGAGATTAATAAGATAAATCACTTGTTATTTAGAAGTAAATGTTTTCTAGAATATTAAAAATGCCATTCTGTGTCGAGGGGTGGGAGTTTGGGGGAGAATCCCAAATAAAATAAAAATAAATTTTTAAAAAATGCCACTAATAATTGCCATAATATCACAAATATCCTATGGTTAGAACTTTGATCACGAGTTTTTTTTTTAATTTGAGCACCCAGGATGTTTGTTGTATAAGCATGTCTGACTAAAAGGATTCTTTCATCTGCTTTAGTGCATGTCAGCAGCATTTTAGAAAATTCTATTTAAAAAGTGACTTGCTTTTAATTTGTTAAACAAAAAGCAGTGTCAGATGTCTGAATAACAGAAAATAATTAAATCTTGTTTGCAGAGATTGCTTCAGTAGATGTGGAGAATAGAATCAAAATAGAAGGGCAAAGGACCAGTAGGTTAAGCTGTCTCTAACAGCATTGACATCCAGTACTGGAGCGCTCATGTACATCTTGGCCACTCTGCATCCTGTCCAGCTACATGCTAATGCACTTGGGAAGGCAGGAGAAGATGGCCTGAGTACTTGGATCCCTGTCACCAACAAGGGTGACCAGGAAGTGCTCCCGATTTCACTCTGATACAGATCTGGCTGTTTTGGGAATAATTTCCCTATATGTCTCCCCCTCTCTGCTGCCTTGCCTTTCAAATAAATAAGCACATCCTTAAATAAAAAATAAAATAGAGGAATCATAGTTAGATGTGGCCATTAAGACACTGCTTAGAACAGGTGATATCAGAATACCTGAGTTCACTTCCAGCTCCACTTTTGATTCCAGACGCCTGCTAATGGACTCCCTGAGAAGCAACAGAGTAGTTTCTATGGAATAGAGAAGATAGAAATCATATTACTGAGGTATAGGAAGAAAAAGTATTGAGAAAGCCCAAGCTGGGGATATAATGCATTCTTTTTTTTTTTTTTTTTTTTTTAAAGATTTATTTTTATTATTTTTTCATTGGAAAGGCGGATATACAGAGAGGAGAGACAGAGAGGAAGATCTTCCATCCGATGATTCACTCCCCAAGTGAGCGCAACGGGCCGATACTATGCCGATCCGAAGCCAGGAGCCTCTTCCGGGTCTCCCACGCGGGTGCAGGGTCCCAAAGCTTTGGGCCGTCCTCGACTACTTTCCCAGGCCACAGGCAGGGAGCTGGAAGGGAAGCGGGGCTGCCGGGATTAGAACCGGCGCCCATATGGGATCCCGGGCGTGCTAGGCGAGGACTTAACCACTTGCGCCACCGCGCCGGGCCCATATAATGCATTCTTATATTCTAACAATGATGTGTTTAGAAGCTGAAAAGAATTCAAGAATGTAGGTCAGCATTCCTGCTGAGGCACTGGCATCCCATATAGTGCCAGTTCGTGTCCTGACTGCTTTACCTCTGATCCCGGTCCCTGCTTTTGGCCTGGGAAAGCAGCAGAGGATGTTCCAAGTCCTTGGGTTTCTGCACCCACAAGGAAGTCTTGGCAGAAGCTCCTGGCTCCTGGCTCCTGGCTCCTGATTTCTGGCTTCTGGCTCCTGGCTCCTGGCTTTGGATCACTTTAACTCTGGTGGTTGTGGCTATTTGAGGAGTAAACTAGCAGAAGGACAACCTCTATCTTTCCTTTCTCTCTAGTCTTTCAAATAAAAATAAGCATGTTGAAAAAAATAAACACAGAACTCATATTGCTAAATGTACAGAGTAGCATAAATATAAAATTCTTCCATTATATTTTATAAGTATCAGAAGCTCTCATCACAGTTGATTGTTTAACAATAAGCAAGATATTAGGCAGTAATAGAATAATTAGAGATTTTTTTAAATTCTTAGCCTATATACCACTTGGGAAGAGGAATTTTTTGAAAAATCAACATGTTAATTTTTTAAAAAGATTTCATTTTTATTGGAAGGTCAGATATACTGAGAGGCGGAAATACAGAGGGGAAGATCTTCCATCTGCTGATTCACTCCCCAAGTGGCTGCAATGGCCGGAGTTGAGCCAATCTGAAGCCAGTAGCCTGGAACCTCTTTTGGGTCTCCCACATGGGTGCAGGATCCCAAGGTTTTGGACCATCCTGGACTGCTTTTCCAGGTTACAGCCAGGGAGCTAGATGGGAAGTGGGGCTGCCGGAATTAGAATCAGTACCCATATGGGATCCCAGCACATGCAAGGCAAGGACTTCAGCTGCTAGGCTACCATGCTGGGCCCAACATGTTGATTTTTGTCAAGTGGTCATTATCATAGAAATTCTGTGACATTTGTTACGGTCTGGCTGTATGATGACATAAGACATGATAACTATTCATGCCACTTATTTATATGGGTGTTTGTTTAACCTGATCTTAGATTTGCCCATCATCTACGCCCTGTGTAGCTTCAGAGTTGAGACAATTTTTAAATATTAAATATACATTATAAACATGATAACTTTTCTTTTCCCTCAGCTAGAAGTCTTTTTAAAATGCCTACCTCTCATTGAAACTAACCTTGGATCTATCAATAAATTATTGAGACTCACCTAAGGAAAGCATTTACTAATAATGTATCAGGGTCTCTGGGATTTCAAAGTGTGCCTGAAAGGGTTTAATATGTGCACATCAGAATTATCCACTTTTACTCTATTATTTATGATGATTGGAAATTATATTCTGTTTTTACAAATATACAGGTGAATCTGTACCAGAGTACCAGATGGCTTTTCAGACAGAAGTTGGAAACCATCCCACTTTTGAAGATATGCAGGTTCTTGTTTCTAGGGAAAAACAGAGACCCAAGTTCCCAGAAGCCTGGAAAGAAAACAGCCTGGTAAGAAGGAAACAAAATGATTCAAAAGAGGGCTTCAGGACTGAACATGGCTTAATGTTTGATGCACAAAGTAAACTTCATAATGCTAATAATTGTCCACAAATATCAAACACCATTTAGAGAGACTCATGATATGTCTAAGGGTTGCCAGATTGAATAGCAGCTGACTTTAACATATTGATAGTTTATATGTTATTCCAATTCCATCTTGTCCTTTTTATAATATTGATAATAATATTGTTAAGCAGTTCAGGCTTACATATTCAGTGACAAAAATTTAGGCTACACCTAAAAGAGGCCATGCTGCAATCTGTGAATTCTGCTCATTAGAAATAAGAGTTCAAATGATGAAATATCTGTAAAGCTTCCTGCCATTTGAATACATCTTTTTTACACCACTGAAAATATCTTACATACATTTGCACACATAAACATTCATATAATTTTTTGAAGAGTTTTTAAATTTTAAATTGGAGTGATCTTTCATCCTCTCATTCACTCCCCAAATGGCTTAAATAGCTGGGGCTGGATCAGGAGCTTCTGTGGGTCTGCCAGGTGACAGTAGAGACCCCGAAACTTGAGCTGTCTTTCATCTTTTCCCAGGTGTGTTAGCAGGAAGCTACATCAGAAATGGAACAACTGGGGTTGACCTGGCACCCTTATAGGATGCCAGCATTGCAGACAGTAGCTTAAACCATTACAACATGTGCCCCTCAGATAATTTTCGAAGTATTTATTTATTTACCAGAGTAACACATGGGGAGGGAGACAGAGAGATTGAAAAGGATAAAGAGAGAGGTTTCACCTGCTGGTTTTCTCCCCAAATAGCTGAAGTGGCTGGACTTGGGCCAGCTGGAAGCCAAGAGTCAGGGACTCCATCCATGTCTCCCATAGGGATTAAAAGGGCCCTACTTTGGCCCTCATCACCTGCTTTGCTAGGCACATTAGCATGAAAATGGAATATGGTATCATTCTTACATAGGATTCCATCATGCTCACATGTGATGCTGGCTTTCAAAGGGCTGGCTTAACCTATTGAACCACAAACCAAGATTTTTAGTATATAAATAAATTGTTTTTGGTTTTTCTTTTTTTAATTAAAAAGGAACAATTTCATGTGTTTCACAAGTACAGTGCTAATAACATAATGATATTTCCCACTTTACCCTCCATCCCTTGCTGTCATCCTCACTCCTTGTTCCATATTTTTCTTTTAATTTTACAATGATGTGCTTTTAATTTGCTAACACAGCTCAGCCCTCCCCTAATTTCAGCTTCCACAGTAGTGAGTGAAAAACAAACCCATTCCTCAGGAGTAGATAAAGGGCTATAAACAATAGTCCAATCTCAAAGTGCAGATTTCATGCATATATGTTTTTTGTACTCTGTATATTAAAATTACCACAAATCAAGGAAAGCATAGGTATTTGTCTTTTGGGGATTGGCCATTTCACTGAGCATCATGATCTTCAGTTGCATCCATATTGTTACAAAGACAGGCTTTCATTCTTTTACATGGCTGAATAGTATTGCATTATGTATATTTAACACAATCTCCTTATCAAGTATCTGGGTTGATTCCATATCTTAGCAATGGTGACATGAGCTACTAAGAACATGGGGATTAAGATCACTCTTTCATATTGCTGGTTTCATTCCCTCTGGGTAAGTTTCTGGTGCGGGGGAGCGGGGAGGAAAAGCTAAGTCATATGGCAGCTGTATTTTCAGATTCCTGAGGAATATTCATTCTGTCTTCCATTATGGCTTTACTAGTTTACATTCCCCATCAACAGTGTACTGTATACTTTTTATGCATCATCCATAAATTTCTTGACAGTGAAAAAGAAATGAAAAAAGTAATTAAGCAATTAAGCAATTTTGTTATATATTTTCACATTTCAATTTTAGATTGTCTTGGAAAGATTAGAATATATTTATTCTGGATCCTGACAGTTGTTTTCATTTCAGAGAAGGGCTACATACACATTACCTATTTTCATACAAATTTTGATTGCCCATTGTCTACATTGATCTAGTTTTATCAGTACATTATCTTCAACACTGGCTTCTGTGTCCTTTAAAGATTGAAATCTTTTTTAAGTGGAAGGCAGTTGAAGAGCCTGTTGCAAGCACATATGGCCAAAATTGCCTCCAAAGTGTAGTCCCTGCTGTGGGAGCTGAGACAGATGTTTAAGAGGTCCCTGACAGCAGGAGAGAGGCCAAATGCTGTACCAGGATTGATCAGAAGTACCAACCTCAGCCCACTGTGATTACCTGGTGACTAAATCCTAGCCTTGCATGCGCCAGGATCCCTTATGGGTAGCAGTTCATATCCCAGATGCTCCATTTCCCATCCAGCTCCCTGTTTGTGGCCTGGGAAAGCAGTCGAGGACACCCATGTAGGAGACCTGGAGGAACATCTTGGCTCCTGGCTTCCGATCAGCTCAGCTCTGGCCATTGCAGTCATCTGGGGAGTGAGCCAGCAAATGGAAGATCTTTCTTTCCTCCTCTGTATATCTGTCTTTCCAATAAAAAAAAATTACAAAAATTAAAAAGAAATATTAAAAAATAAAGTACCAACAATATAGTACAGTGCCTCTTATTCAGCTGAAATACAGCTTCAATCTTCTTAGGTTATTTTATTAGAGAAAATATAATCTATTATTTTGAACTATCTCAGCAATCCTGTCAATATGTAATAGGCATTATATATACATGAATCTGTAAAGCTCTTTTTCTTCCAATTTAGATTTGGTTGCTAAGTAAGGGATTTGTAATAGTTGGTACACTTCTAAGAAATATGTTTAGGGGTCAGCGCTATGGCTAACAAGCTAACCTTCCACCTTCAAGCACCAGCATCGCACACAGATCGAGATGTTCCATTCACTGTTCAAACAGCACAACAGTCAGCTCTGGGCACATTGAAAACAGGAGCCAGGAACTCCAGCTGAGTCTCCCCCGGATGCAGTAACCCATGTCCAAGAAGAACACTATTAAATACCTTTCAGGTTAAAAGTTGAATTTTGATTGCATAACCTAGATTATTTGGAAATACTGAAAATGTTTCAAAGAATGCTGAAAAGGATATTGTCCTAAAATAGGATTCTGCTTATACTTATAATAAAAATGTATTTGTTGTTTCTCTGAAATTCAAGTTTAAATTGGTATATTAACATTTTTATTTTTCTGAATGTAGCAGCCCTAACATAAAACCGTCATTTTAAAATAAATGTTTCCAGGCTGGCATTTGGTACATTGGATTTGGCTCTTCTGCAATACTGGCATCCCATGGTTTGTTTGGTTTTTTTAAAGATTTATTTGTTTTCATTGCAAAGTCAGATATACAGAGAGGAGGAAATACAGAGAGGAAGATCTTACATGATTCACTCCCCAAGCAGCTGCAAAGACTGGAGCTGAGTCAGTCCAAAGCCAGGAACCCAGAACCTCTTTTTGGGTCTCCCACATGGGTGCAGTGTTCCAAGGCTTTGGGCCGTCCTCGGCTTCATTCCCAGGCCACAAGCAAGGAGTTGGATGGAAAGTGGAGCTGCCAGGATTAGAACTGAGGCCCATATGGGATCCTGGTGCATTCAAGGCAAGGATGCGCTGGGCCCATCCATGGTTTTGAGTCCTCACTTCCAGTCCAGCTCTCTGCCAATGGCTTGAGAAAGCCACAGAAGAGCGGAAGATGGCCCGAGTGTTTGGGCCTGGATGAAACTCCTGGCTCCTGTTTTGGCCTGGCCCAGTCCCAGCCATTACAGCTAGTTAGGTAGTGAATCAGTAGCTGGAAGATTTTTGTTGTTTCTTCTCTGTCTAGGTAACTGCCTTTCACATTAATCTTTAAAGAAAAAAAAATGTTTAAAGGTACATGAACTATGAATGTCAGAGCAGGTACAAAGCTTGATGCCTAATTTTAAAAAAATGAAAAGACTTCATCTTGTAAACAAAAATATTCACTACTTTTTTTTGAAAACACACTTTTATGTACTTTGTATCCTAGGCAGTGAGATCACTCAAGGAGACTATAGAAGACTGCTGGGACCAGGATGCAGAGGCCCGGCTCACCGCACAGTGTGCTGAGGAGAGGATGGCTGAACTTATGATGATATGGGAAAGGAACAAATCTGTGAGCCCAACAGTCAATCCAATGTCTACTGCTATGCAGAATGAGCGGTAAGAACCTGTGGGATTTAGCATCTAGCAGTCAGTATTGGAATCTGATACTGAACAAATAATAGCAAATAAATTATGTTAAACCAGTCCAATATTGCAGTCATTAACTGATATGATCTAATGCTGTAATTTTTCTTCTAAGGAAATGAGAATTCTTTTTATTGGTTTATGATACAGTTTAATAGGCACTGGGGTTTCCCCTCTCCCTCCCCAAGCTCCCTTTCCTCTCCCCTGGTCTCCCCTCCAGTCTTATAATGGGTGTCTTTTGTGAATTTTCACAAATTCATCATGTTACCCCTGAGTTATCTCCCAACAATTTAGGTTATCAGCCATTTTGTTGTGAGTCCATCCTTGTAGTACATGTATGTATGAGGACTTCTCTCTTTCCACTTACGAACATAATAATTTCTGCTGCATTCCATAATGTATCCCCTTGTGTACAATCCACTGTGGGGGGAAAAAAAGAATAGTGAACCTTCAACCACATGAAGTTAACGAACATATAACAAAGGTATCAGTGTGACACTAGGGTGGTGAAAAGAGTGTCTAGCATCTTCATGCAGGAATAAATGCCAGTGTGTGTCCCAAGGCACTAATGAAGGTACAATGAGGACTAGATCCTCATTATTTATGAGCAGTAGCAATAACAATGGCAAAAAAAGGACATTAACAATCTCAGGTGATTACTTAGGGATTGTTTGTTTGAAACAGAGCACCACCAAGAGATGGAGAGGCGACAGAGGGAGAGCAAGAGGCCAAATGGCTGCAATAGCCCAGTTTGGGTCAAGCTGAAAACCAGGAGCCAAGAACTCCATCGTGGTCTCACTTGTGGGAGACAGGGAGGCCACACAGTTGGACCATCTTCCACTATCTTCCCAGGGAGCTGGCTCAAGCTAGTATTTGATGCCACCATTGCAGGCATTGGCTTAACTTGCTGTTCCACAACACTAGCCTCTAAAGTTGTAATTTTTCATTCTACGTTCTCATTCTTCTGAAAATGTTTTTATATCAATGCAAGATGGAATCTGTTTTTTGCAATTGAAGAGGAAACAAATGATGGGGCTGGTGTTTTAGCTAGTGCTTAAAATGCCAGTTAGAATGCCTGAGTTCCATGTTAGAGTACCTGGGTTTAATACCTGCCTCCAGTTTCCATTGCAACTCTTGGGAAGCAACAATAAATGACCCAAGAAGTTGGGGCCCTACCACTGATATGGAAGACATGGTTGGAGTTCTCAACTCCCAACTTCATCTTGATCTGCTTCTCTCTGTCTCTCTTGATTTGTTCAGTCCTTTCTCTATTCCATTATTTTTATCCAAGAGCAATTTCTGTTATGCACTTTGGGCCATAAATTAGCTTTACTACTAAATAATGAATAGTTTGAATTAGCTTCAGATATAAAGTATTTCCTAACAAGTCAAAGAAGGTAGAAAATCTAAACATCAATTTTCTCATTTTACATATACTTCTTGGACAATCTTCTGCTCTGATTCCCTTCATCTCTGTGTTTTCCATTTGCTCTAGTATTCTATTTATATCTCTCTCAAGAATCTAAGTTTTGACCTCAGAGGTATTGGAACATTTCTTGAATGGGAATAAGAAATCCTTGATGCCTCCTTGCTTTTGGCTGTGTTTTTTCTTTTGTCATTCATCTTCACAGTCTACGTTCATTTCTAGTCTAAGTTTCCCCTAAATCCTAATTCATGCAACAGTCATTCTCATTGTGCATTTTACTTTTATTGATTATTAACCTCTGTGCCTCCTTAGCTTCCTTTTCTTTTGCTATGTCACAGTTTTTCTTTCTTTTCCTGTCATTGCTCTTAAACTTCATCAGTCTGATATAGCACAGTTTCTTTGGTTGCTGTTTTTCTCCAGTAACAGTTGTGTATTTTAATGTCCCCAGTGTTACACCTTAATTGTTTAGTTTATCTGGTTTTTATTTTAACCTGATTTAAAATAATGTAAATATAATGTGATGACTGTGAAGAGCAGTGGATAACTAGAGAACAGTTCTGAATCTTATCATGGCTATGGCTCAAGACTCTCCCAGAAAGATCATGTTGCTAGCCTTTTCCTCTTACTGAAGGGCTTTGAAACAATCTAAACGTTTAAGTCTTTTTTTTCTTTAAACGGTTTGACCTTTGGTATTTAGTTGGTAGTGTACTGTTCAGTAAGACACAAAGTATTTAGAATTAAGGCAGTACAAAAGAAGTAAACTATGGTTCCTTTGCTCACAAGATATATTATCTGTATGAATATATGGTTCATAAACATTATTAAATTTATTCTTTTAAATTAAAATAATTGATTTTTATGCAAGTTATCTAAATTTGTGTAGATTTTTCAGTATGCTTAATCCTTATGTGGCTGACAGCAAATTATTGAGTCTTGATTAGACATTTTAAGTAATTTCTAAAATAGTATGAGCTAGGAATTAAAAAACAGGTTGGACTTTAATTTCAGAAATATTAAACTTGGAGAGAATTTGTCGTGTATATACATTTTCAGTGTGACACTTTTTTCCTTTTTTTTTTTTTTAAGCAACCTGTCACATAACAGGCGTATGCCAAAAATTGGCCCTTACCCAGATTATTCTTCTTCCTCATACATTGAGGACTCTATCCATCACACTGACAGCATTGTGAAGAATATTTCCTCTGAGCATTCGATGTCCAGCACACCTTTGACGATAGGGGAGAAGAACCGAAATTCAATTAACTATGAACGGCAGCAAGCACAAGCTCGAATCCCCAGCCCTGAAACCAGTGTCACCAGCCTGTCCACCAATACGACGACCACAAACACCACTGGTCTCACTCCAAGTACTGGTATGACTACTATTTCTGAGATGCCATACCCAGAGGAAACCAATCTTCATGCCACAAATGTTGTACAGTCAATCGGGCCAACCCCTGTCTGCTTACAGCTGACAGAAGAAGACTTGGAGACCAACAAGCTAGACCCAAAAGAAGTTGATAAGAACCTCAAAGAAAGCTCTGATGAGAATCTCATGGAACATTCTCTTAAACAGTTCAGTGGGCCAGACCCATTAAGCAGTACCAGTTCTAGCTTGCTTTACCCACTCATAAAGCTTGCAGTAGAAGTGACTGGACAGCAGGACTTCACACAAGCTGCAAATGGCCAAGCATGTCTAATTCCTGATGTTCCACCTGCTCAGATTTATCCTCTCCCCAAGCAACAGAATCTTCCTAAGAGGCCTACTAGTTTGCCTTTGAACACCAAAAATTCAACAAAGGAACCCCGGCTAAAATTTGGCAGCAAGCACAAATCAAACTTGAAACAAGTAGAAACTGGGGTTGCCAAAATGAACACAATCAATGCAGCAGAACCTCATGTGGTGACAGTTACTATGAATGGTGTGGCGGGAAGAAGCCACAATGTTAATTCCCATGCTGCCACAACACAGTATGCCAATGGAACAGTACCATCTGGCCAGACAACCAACATAGGGGCACATAGGGCCCAAGAAATGCTGCAGAATCAGTTTACCAGTGAAGACACCAGACTGAATATTAATTCCAGTCCTGATGAGCACGAGCCTTTACTACGACGAGAGCAGCAGGCTGGCCAGGATGAAGGTGTTCTGGATCGCCTGGTGGACAGGAGGGAACGGCCATTAGAAGGTGGCCGAACTAATTCCAATAACAATAACAGCAATCCGGGTCCAGAACAAGATGTTCTTACACAAAGTGTTCCAAGCACAGTTACAGATCCTGGGCCATCAAAACCCAGAAGAGCACAGAGGCCTAATTCTCTGGATCTTTCAGCCACAAATATCCTGGATGGCAGCAGTATGCAGAGTAAGTGCAGACATCCTGTGTGTCTTTACTTAGGATCAGATTGTGTTTTCAATTAGCAACTATTTACCTTTACCATTTTTGAAAAATAAACCATTTGGCTGGGCCTTAGAAGTAATTACAGCACTTTTAAGAAAAATGCAATTAGAATTTTATCATGAAAGAATTAAATCAATATTAATAGTTATCAGAAAACTTAATATGTGCATTATATGCCTGCTGTTTTATAATACAGCTCTCACACTTGGAATGAATAGTTGAGATTAAGTACTGAATCAGTTTGAGACTCAAAATAGTAGCATGCTAGTGTAACTTGAGATAGCTTGTGAATATTAACATCTATTATATCTGCATTTAGCTTTTATTAAATTAGCCTTAATAAGTCTAGAAGACCAGAGGAATTTCAAAAACAAAGTTTCTATAAAGAAACTACAAAGTTGTGCTCAGTTTCTTAGTGGGAGAGTTACATGTTGAGTCTCTCATACCTATAGCATTGTGCTATGGGCTCTTAGCAACATAAACAAAGTGATGTTTGATTTCTGTCCCTAAGAGAGTTACAATACAGGAAAATCAAGCCTCCCCAAATCTGTAACAGTCATCATTACATAAAAGTCTCTATGTTATATAGTACATAGGAGAGAAAGTTAGGTTGTTTGGTTGTCAAGGACTTACAAGATGACCTGAAGAGAGGGGCTTTGCTTGAGTGGCTTGTATTGTGGACTAGTAGTTAACTTACTCCTATTACAAGGCTTTGTATGAAAAGAAGGAATTACTAGAAAATTTGTACTATAATATTGCTGTCTTACCCTCCCATAAAAATATTGTATGTATTTAAAGTTTGATTCACTGCTAGCTGGAATGATTCAATACATTTTACCAAAATAAGTTTTCTACCAAAACCAAAGGATTTGAAAGTATAGTTGGAAGCTTAGAATTTTCTCCAGTGATTTTTATCTTTTGAATTTTTTTTCTGTCTCTTTCTTGACCCTGTGGAATAATTCAATAAGTTATGAAAATATTTGTCTTAAAGAATCTCAAAGCTTTTCACTGCCTACATAAAAGATAAACAAATTCTAAAGAAAAATCTCAAAAATAAGGTGGTTGTTGCCAAGAAAAAAACATTGCCTGTTTTCGTGACTTTAAGAAACATCCATGAACACTTTGATTTGATCTGTTTGTGAGTTGCAGCCCTAACCCTTTACTTTTCACCAGTTTCTTCAGAAATCATTCATTTTTCTGTGCTTTTGTTTTCATAGGTGAGTCAACACAAGATGGCAAATCAGGATCTGGTGAAAAGATCAAGAAACGTGTGAAAACTCCCTATTCGCTGAAGCGGTGGCGTCCCTCCACCTGGGTCATCTCCACTGAACCACTGGACTGTGAGGTCAACAACAATGGCAACGACAGGGCAGTTCATTCCAAATCCAGCACTGCTGTTTACCTTGCAGAGGGAGGCACTGCCACAACCATGGTGTCTAAAGATATAGGAATGAACTGTCTGTGAAATGTTCTCAAGCCTACGGAGTGAAATTATTTTTTTGCATCATTTAAACATGCAGAAGATATTTAAAAAAAAAAAACTGCTTTGTCCCCTTGTCAGTACCCCCTTCCTGATCCTGCAACCAGGACTTGCTTTAAATAGATTTCAGCTATGCAGAAAAATTTAGCTTATGCTTCCATATTTTTTAATTTTGTTTTTTTTTAATTTTTGCACTTTTGTTTAGTCTTGCTAAAGTTATATTTGTCTGTTATGACCACAGAATTATATGTGTGTGTATCAAAAGTGGTCTCAAAATATTTTTTTAAGAAAAAAAAAGCAAAAACAACATATTGCTGATAATCAGTTTGGACCAGTGTCTAGAGGTCATTAAAACAGAAGCAAATTAAGACAGGTTTGACTGCAGTGGTGTCTGATATTCATGTTTTATTTCTGGGCACAAGCTAGTCTGTGTGTTGATATGTTCCTGAACATACTCTCTGTTGGATGTTCTTTTCTCTTGTGTTTTGTTTGAATGTGCAATAGTCTGTAGGCCACAAATAAGCTTTCTTGTAAGCTCTCTTCCCAATGGGTTACACATTCTTCCATAAGATGAACGCCTTTCTTCCCCATCTCCCATACTTTTTGTGGGTCAGTTCTTGACAGTGAATTTTGCACAGGAGAAAGCGTTATTTCTTGCTTTCTCTCTCCTTAGCATGGAGAATGCAGAAATATAATTTCAAAGGGCTCGAAAAAAGGAACTACAAAAATCTAATTTGAAAATGCCATTTCTTTTTACCTTCCAAATTCTAAGCTTTTTTTTTTTTTTTTTAATATTTGGTTCTGGTTTTAGAAGTGTGTAAGAGCATAGAACAAAATATAGGAAATAAACTATCAGTCTTATTTTCCATTTTATTTTATTTATATATATATATGTTCATGTTCCATATTCATTTTTATCCAAAAACAAAGCTGTACTGATAAAATTTTTTAATAGGTTGATGGTTAAAGCAGTGTAGTATTACAGCTGTCTGAATAGGCCATCTTTGACTCAAATAAAATTACATTTCTTGTTTATTATCATTTCTGAAGTAGTTCCTAGTATTCATCCTGCAGTATCTTTTATGATGTTCCTAAGACAAAGTGACTTTGTCGGAAGATGACTCCTCTTCCCATGACCTAAAACACTGTGGAAAAACCACTCAACTGGCCCGCCAGATCTCCCCGGGAGAAAGCATCGCTGCCAAACCTGCCCTGATCCAGCAGAGTGAGACTTGACTTTTCTAAGTTCTGTGTTTCTTTGCTAATCTTGTTTTCATAATTTCTCCTTTGTGCCAGTTCTTCACATGACCTTTGATATGTGAAGAACACTTATTTATATTAGAGGACACTTTTTAGTGATAACATGTCCTTGAAATCATATTGTTTTTAAAAGCTTTGTTTTGCTTCTTTCATTGTTAATCATCTTCTCCAAAACAACCTCAGCATGCTTTTTTAAAAAAAATAATAAAGCACTTTTTCTCAAATAAGGCTTCTTTCCTAAACTCTAAGCACAAATTATTTTCTGTCAGTTTGCAAATATGATCATCTCACTTTTTTTCTCAGAATACTTACTAGACATTTTTTTGATGAGAGATTTCTTGGGAAGGAAAAAAAAGTTAGCAGTAAGACACACACTCCCAAATTCTTGATTTAGATTTTTGTATCATGAGTAATGTTTTCTCACTCATTTTGCTGTGACTTTACCAGTAAGGTAAATTTCCAGCTATTCCTAAATTTCCTAGTTTATTGTTCTAAAAATGCTTCCTTTACGTGCTGCCTTCTATTATCTTATGAATTAGTGTATGATAGCACTTTTTATTTATCCAGCTGGATTGCTGAACATGGTTCTCAATCATTATAATTAAGATTATTTTACTAATGCCCTGGATTTCCATCTTTTATGTTTTATTACCGTTCTCTTGATTCATATCCTCACTATATTCTTGCCATGTGCTTCTTCTCATATAATTATCATTTTTTATCTATATAATAAATTGTTTGCTTCTTCCTCCAGTAAATATTCACCTAGTTCTCTCTTTTTAAGATGTCTTTCAAATGCATTTCACGATACACTTTTCAAGGCTTTACAGGACAACTTTGAATCAAAATAAATTGTTCTTTCTCCAGTTTGCAGCATTTGAGGTCTAACTGATCTTTTCCTGCCAGAAGCATTAGGTTACATGTTATGCTGTATTTTGTATTTGGGCCAGTTGATTGTAAGTTTTCCACCATTTTAACATGTTTCATAATATAATGCTTTAAAAATTAATATACCGGATTAGAAAACCTGTGTAGTTTCCAGTTTTATGCAAACATATTTAAAACAAATAATTTGCCTTCCCCAGTTTTTGAAAGTAGACCCTGAAAAATGGGAAAAGTAAAAAATTATTGATAATCTTAATTAATACACATAAGACTTTTAAAGTGTTATGTGCAAGCAAAATCGCTTTAATGACTTGAATTACTCACATGCTAACTTTATTCATCTGAAAACAAATATTTCCAAAAGTGATATCTAACCACTAATCATAAAATTTTACATATAAAAAAGCATTTGATTTTTTCTGAATAAAAAGCTAGTCAGCTAAAAATTCTGAAATTAATGTCACTGGGTAGTAAACTTCATATAGCCAACTTTAAAATAGGTCACCAAAGACTAATATTAGTTTCTTAACAAAATCCTAATTAAGTACATTTCGATCACTGAACAGGTTTAATTTGCATTATGTTTTGAAAACAATTATAGTTAATTCTAAAAACTTTTTATAAATGCATAATTGGAAAAGAACACTTTATGTAGAAAGTTGTAGGAAGGTACATATTGAATGCTTGGTTATGCATGTGCTATTTCTTTCAGCCATATGGGAGTTACAGCTAATTCTCTCAGTTTATAAATTATTAAGAGAGGCTAAGTTACTTGCCAAGGGCTACATCTAGTAATAAACAAACCTGGGATTTTAATCTAGATGCACCCTTTTCCACATTTTTTTATCCACCCTACACTGCCGACATACTGCGTGATAGGATGGATGTGTGATGTACTGGCATTCTGTAAGCGATTCAGTCATGCATTACCACAGTTGTATTTGGTATGTAAGCCAAACCAGATACCTTAATGATATTTTAAGTTAGGCAAACATAAGATGTGTGCTGTACTTACTGTTACTTGAGATACAATTACTAAATCAAGACAAAATTGAGTCCTACATTTATCATCATAGCCCTTAAAATCATCTCACTTCATTCCTCTAACATTTTTATATTGCAAAAATGAAGGTAAAATAAGTCTTAAGGGAGAAGGGAAGATAGCTTTTAGAAATAGAAACTTTTTTTTCCCTGATTTGATTCCATACTAGAGTCAGAGGAATAAACATTAAATTGCATTCTCATCCATCCTTGACTCAATTTTCAAATTTTTGTTTTAGTAATTTTAGAAAATGTACTAACCCAGAAATGTAGGATGCAGGAAAGACATGGATAATGTCCATTTTCCAAAGCATTTTAGTGTAGCTTCCTTACATGTACCCACTTGTTCCAGAAAACGTACATTCGTTTTTAATGTAAACATAATTAGGAAGAAACATAAGTGTTTCAGTGGAAATTATTTAAAAATTTAGCAGATATTTTTACAGTGTTTTTTTACTTTGGCTCTAATGCCAGCTGCAGTACCTAGTTGGCTATAGCATATCTCCCTCTTGAAAAGTTTTTCAATGTTTTTTTGAACTTATGGACATGAATATTTCATTGGAGACCATTAGCTCCTAATCCTTGATATTACATTATAGTTCTATACAACATTTTATAAATTTATGTTGAACTTAGTGCCAGTTATAAGCAGGTTATTATGTAGCTATTCATGGATTGCTTTATGTAATATTTTCTCTTCCCAGATAACTCCTTAAAGTTAGAATTGGTTCACACATGTTAGTTGATTATCTAGACCAGTCATTCTCAGAATTGTGTGACTCCCTTACACTGCAGGAGTCTCTTGCAGAGTGGGATATTTATAAAGATCTGTGCAATTTACTGACAGTGCACTCTTCAGCAAAATTGCATTTTAACTTTTAGCTACAAACTATGCAAAATTTTACCCAAAACGATCTTTCATTCTTAAGTAAATCTGGCAAATCATTGTTTGAGACAGTTATACAAAAGTTAGTATCAGAAGAAGCCATTTTTACAAGTTTCAAGGTCAAAAAGAAAACACAGGGTACTCTAGTGTGCCTATCCATTACTTTCCTTAAATCACCTCATGGTTTATGACTTAACCTGCACTGCTCCTCAGTTATCTGACTTGCAGTCTTGTGTGTCAGGAAGTTTTCATATTTGTTCTGTTCCTATTACCTAGTAGGAAAAAAGGGGAATCATTGTCCCTGTCTGTCATTCTTCAGGGTTCTTGGCTAACGTCTGAGTCTCAGTTCTACAGAGAAAAACACTTTAGTTCCTTCCATCTTTTTCTTCCCAGTCCTATTTTAATGGCTTTATTTATATTTAAGAAAACTTAAAAATATGTTATATTCATTATTCCAGTTAAGTAATAGTTCAATAGTTTGATAGAATTGAGAGTTAAGATGTTATTGTTTGACCTTGGATTCAGCTATCAAACTACCGGCAAGCAGCATTTAATTTTTGTATTATCTAACATTTTCTATTAAATTGTTGAGTTTTATGATAATGAAAAAGTCATGCACACAGGATTGTACATCATCACCATTAGAAATTTTAACCTATATTGCAGGAGCTTAGTGTTATGATTGAGCCACAATGTCTTACATATTTCTTTGTAACCAATATTAACACTAAATGCAAGATTAATTATCAAAAGCAAGCTGTATAATAAAGAAAAATTATCTATGAACAATTTTGTAGACCACTTTTGAAATACTTACTGTTTGCAACATAGCCTGGACTAGAACAACTTTAAGTTTTCAGTGACTGTTAAAAGTTGAATGTCCACATAAAGAGAAGTTAGAAGTTTGGATCATCACAGATGCTTTTGAAAGGAAATATTTCAGAGGAATTTATGCTGTATGACAAAATTACACCCCAAATAAACCTATGATATCTTAAAAATTCTAATTCTTTTTTACTATGATGTTAGTATTACTATTGAACATTGTAAACATGCTCATTCATTTTTAAAACTTAATTTGAAATGCAAGTGCGAATTTAGATAGAAGGACTCTTTAGAACTAAATCACATAAACAGGGCATCCAGTTTATGATGAAATTTTAAAGCAGACTATTAAATTTAAAGCTACAGCTTGATTTTTCTCTCCCCCAAATTTTAAAGCACCACATGTGAAGTTTTTTCCATTTTATGTATACTTTGAGATTTCAGAAACATCTTAATGTTTTATATTCACTCTATAGATACAATGTTACTTAAAAACTCAGGGCCCCTTTCATCTCTTAGTGCGTTGAAAAAGTTCAACTGAGAGCAGTTAGATCTGGTTGAAATTTTTAAGTGTTGGTTGCACAGTTCATTTAGTGTTTCATCTTACGATTTTACTTAATTCACATAGACATAATATCAGATTTCATTCATCATAATAGCTTGCCAAGTTCTTATAATTACTGAATATAGGGAATGACTCAACTAATTGGTTACATGTTGCAGCAAATTTAGGCCTTAGAGTTACAGCACTCACTTGAAACCATTTTGCTTAAATAATTATACATGATGGGACAAATCATTTTATTTTGTTTTTTAGTAAGAGGACTTAAGCTAGTTTCATGTGAAGTAAAATTTTCTCAAGAAATCATTGATAAAACTTTTTCTAAAAGTAAATTATTAAGTTTATAGCTTCAGGAATGGCTTGGATGATTTTGAGAAGGTGATGTATGGTATGGTAAGCCAAATAGAATTTTTCTTTGAGTAAGACAAGTTCAAGCTCTAAATTGGTATGCTGTATATTTAGAATTCTAGTGTTGAAGTTATTTGTAAACAGTGTGTCGCAGGCGCTCTACCAATCCTCTAAAATGTTAAAGAAACATTTTAAAACAAGTTTATTGGTAAGAAAAACTAAATTACTAAAAGATGCAATTCAAAGATAGGTCCCACTTTAACATTAAATTGTTTGACTTGTGTGACTTTTCTTTTTCTGGTCACATTTATTTATTTAAGCAATTTTTATATGCCTTTATTGTTTTGTTTCCATAGAGATTATATTGTGTAAGTGTTTGTATAAGCTGGAATCATTTTTAGTTTTCTGTTGATAAGTTTTCAAATGAAGATACATGAATAAATGTAAAATACACTAAGCTTTAGGGTGTTGTGGTAGCTGAAACATGGAGTTTTGTAGCTGCTATGCTTTTTCTGAATGGACAGGAGAAACATAAGCTGCAGAGTATTCATTTCTGAGGGTGCTTTTCTGGAGAAAGAAAGGCTGAAAAATATTGGCACTTCCTCAGAACCCTCTTTGTTGTTAACGGGTATCTTTTGTTGGTGTGTTTTGCTCTTACATTTCAGATAGACTATCATATATAAATTTATGAAAAATTACTTTCAGTTACTTTGCTTTTGTATAATCCATCTGAGACCTTGCTATGCTGTGTAAGTTGTGTTTGATGGATCAGTGTGAGTATGAAATAAATTTCTTTTGTATTATCTATGGATGCCACTATGAAAGCTGACATTAAGCCACTAAAGAGTTTTCTATGAATAAGTGTAAGTAAATGCTTTGATATATATAAACCGAAATAAAAAGATTGTATTGATACAGAGACATTGGAGAAGGAGCCTATAAGACAGTTCTTTAGGTTTAAAAACAAAAAGGCTTGCTGTAAAATGGTGACTATTCCATTTATTAAAGATCATATTAATGATGACAATTAATTGTAGTTTTTTACTTTATTAGATAACCAGAAACTGAGTACTAGTAGGAGATTTTAAGTCTTTTGTTCTAAGAATAATAACTTCTAATTACTTTCTTTAGAAGGAGAGAAGCAAGGCTAACTTCTAATTACTTTCATAACTCAGTATAAAATCAACTAAAATTATTAGTTGCTACTTCTGATCCCCTACTATATACCAGGCCCTTTGTCGGTTATTTCACATACATTGTAGATAATTCTCACATTGTGGGATATAATATAATAATACAATTAGCAGTGTAAAATATGTATTGATATCCCCCTTTTATAAGAAACTGAGAGTCAGGAAAATTAAACACTTTGCCCAAAACTATAGAAGTAGCAAGTGGTGAGATTCTATCACATATTCCATTTTGCTTGATCTATGCAGCTTTCATTCACTGTGGCAAAGGAAACTAAATGAAAATGTTTTAGTAATGAACTAGGTAGCTGGAAACAAGTGAAGTAATATATTTTTGCATGTATTTCTTATTTGAGAGACATACTCTGATCCACTGATGACTCCCAAATGCCCACAACAGCAGGGGCTGTTTGGGATAGGCCAAAGCGAGGAGCGAGGTACTCAGTCCTGGTCATGCCGTGGGCAGCAAGCATCCCAGTAACTGATCCATCTGCCTGCTGCTTCCCAGGTGCGTATGAACAGGTAGCTACAATGGAGAAGAGATCCCGGACTTAAATGTAGGCACTCCCAAATGACCTGCAGTTGTCTCTCATGGTGCTTTAACTGCTGGGCCAAATGCTTGTCCCCATGAAGCAATTTAGGGTAGCAAATATTGTGTGCTTCTCATCAACTTTTTATTAGCTCAATGTATCCATAACGTGGTACATGGATTTATGAAGGTGACACATTCTTGACTCCAGATTAATTCAGCATGTTAGCTAAGTATCTTAAAGTGAGATTGTGGGACAATCCGTGGAAAAATATTTAATAGGGTGCTGGGCTCTTTATTCCTAGATACCAAGGGAACTTTCACTAGAGCCTTTCACAGGATCTACTGTCACCTTAAACCCTACTTATTTTAGGAATAGTAGACTTGAGGTACCTTTTTTGTTTTGACTTGCATGCCTAACGTTACAATCTGTTATAATTGCAGTTCTCAACAGAGCACACTATATAATACTCCAGGTGGTACCTAGTACCTTAGAGGACATGTGGTTATATGGGGGAAACACAATAATGACTTACACAAGCAGTTCACTCATTTATCCATGCCTCCCCTTTTCCCAGTCTATCATCTTCTCTGCAAAGGACTGACTGAAGCCAATAATTTACCCTCTCCTTTATTCAACAAAGTTTTTTCAGATTAAAGGCCACATTGTCCTAATGCATCAATAAGCAGTTAATTGTATATGCTCAATATGTGTTGAAAGCCAAGGAAGACTTCAGCTGTGAGAATGATGGTTGATTAGGCCTTAAAAGGATGGGTGGGATTTGGTAAGAAAGATTTAAAACAGTATTTGAACTGAGCAAGGTTAAATAAACTGGAAATAAAACAGACCTAGTAAATATCCAACAGATAGCTGGAATCTGAAAGCTGGATCCAGGTTTTGGAACCTGCTGTCAAAGATGATAGACCAGAAGAGAAGCCAAGTGGAGACGTTTGGGCTGATAGGTGAGTAGAATGTTATGTAGGTAAGTGATTAGACTGTGGGTTTGAGGACAACTGCAAGTAAAATGCAATTACCATACGGACTGCTGTCCCTTTTATGGGACGGACATCCCCAAAAATCTTTTTTTAAACACCCATTGTATAGGGGCTGTCACTGTGGCTCAACAGGGCAAGCCTTCGCCTTCATGGATCGGCGTCCCATGTGGGCACTGGTTTGTGTCTCAACTGCTTCACTTCCCATCCAGCTCTCTGCTTATGTCTGGAAAAGCAGTGGAGATGGCCCAAAGCCTTGGGACCTTACGCCCATATGGGAGTGAAACAGCAGATGGAAGATCTTTCTGTTTTTCCTTCTATCTGTAAATCTTTCTAATAAAGGTAATTAAATCATTTTTTAAAAGAAAAGCACCCAGTGTGTGGCAGAAACTAAAAGAAACAGCTTACTCTTTAGTTGCTCACTGGATTTGGAGAAAATTACAGAAATACGTTAAAAGTGTGGGTGTGAAACTCCAGACTCCTGTGGAGACATATGGCAAGACTAGTTAATCAAGTCTTGTTGAATCAGAGGCATAAGCCCGTTTGAGATAACTTTTGTAACTGCCTTAAAGTATGAGAAGGAGCTAACTAGTCAGGAGGTGAGCAAAGATCCCCATGCAGAGTTGCAGCATCCACAAAGCCCTGGAAACCCAAGAATGGAGGCTATCTGGGTAAGAGGACATTCAGTAGGAAAAGGTTTGGGAATGTCAACTGGAAGGATGTAGAGAGAGCTATCATACTTTGCTAGGAGTTAGACCTACCTTGGAAATCAACAAATTTAAGCAAAAACTTGCGGAACAACTCTATTGGTAAGAGAATGGATTGTGAGACAGGGAGTCAGATGTAGTAATATGTAAATCCGTGTGGCCCTGGCAAGAGGTATGTGAGCTTGAAGCAGAATTAAATAAGTGATGGTGGAGAAGAGGAAGCACATGGGGTGAGGGTTAAAGAGACCTAATAAACCGTTAAGACAAGCATTAGGTAAGTCAAACTTCCAGGTTCCTTTTTTGGCAAGGGAGTGATAAACCCCCAGAGAAGTTAAAAAAAATCTCAGAAACTGGGCAGCTGACAGAGGATCCTGCCTTTATAAAGAGTAGTTTTAACATTCTGTCCTGTTAAATCATGTGTTCAAATTTTTTATTTCAAAATTATGTGCAAATGCTTTTTTCATCTGTTCTCTCTGTAGTAATTGATCAAGTACAGACTTTCCAGAATAAGTAGCAGAAAGTCATTTTAATGTTTGAATTAATACCACATTAGGTTAACTTGTGTTGAGCTAAGATTTTTCGTTTTGTTTTGCTTATTAGAAATTTCATTTATTTGAAAGAGTTATAGAGACATTAAGAGAAGGCTTTCATTCACTGCTGTAATCCCCAAGTGGCCATAGTAGCCTGAGCTGAGCCATGAGCTTCGTCTAGGTCTCCCACATGGGTGACAGGGGGCCAAGCACTTGGGCCACCTTTAGCTGCTTTTCCCAAACAATAAACAGGGAGCTAGATTAGAAATGAAGAAGCCAGGACTTGAACTGGTACCTTTATGGGTGGCTAAAGTCCTCACCTTGCATGTACCAGGTTCATGTTCCAGCTGTTCCACTTCCTATACAGCTCCCTGCTTGTGGCCTGGGAAAGCAGTAGAAGCCAACCCAAAGCCTTGGGACCCTGCACCTGTGTGGGATACCTGGAAGAAGCTCCTGGCTCCTGGCATTAGATCAGCTCAGCTCCAGCCATTGCAGTCACTTGGGGAATGAATCAATGAATGGAAGATCTTGATGAACCTTCTTTCTGTAAAATTTGCCTTTCAATAAAAATAAATGAATCTTAAAAAAAAAAAAAAAAAACAGGTTGGCTTCAAGAATAGCAACAACAAAATGTCCTAAAATTGTGGGTGGTGAAAAGATGAGACTGTTGAATTGATTTCAATGTCATACAGGACCTTAGAACCACCCACTTTTTAATATTTTGTTTTTAAGTAAATAATTGTATTAAACTGGCTTATCTATAGCACTTGTTGATGTTCTTTAGTACTCACATCCTCTCACTTGCAGGTAAGTTGGATGGAAATTCAAAACTGGGGTTGGTGTTGTATCACAGTGGGTTAAGTTGCCACGTGGGTCACCGGCATCCCATATGAGTGCCAGTTCAAGACCCGGCTGTTCTTTTTTCCCATCAATCTCACTGTTAAAGTGCCTGGGAAACAACGTAAAATAGCCTGAGGACTTGGATCCCTGCCATCCACATGGGAGACCCAAAAGGAGTCACAGGCTCCTGGTTTCAGACTGGCCCAGCCCTGACTGCTGCTGCCACTCAGGACTAAATTGGCCGAAGCTCTGCCTCTTTGTCTTTTCCTTTCTAACTCTTCCTTTCAAATAAATAAGTAGATCTTTCAAGAAAAACTACTGTATCTTCTCATAGTTCCCACTTCTCCTTAGCTGAGTGAGTTTTTTAAAATATATTTTTATTTTGAATTCTGAATTATGTTGTAAAATTTCATGTAGGCTGGGATTCCCGCCCCCCAAAACTCCCATTCCTAACAGATTTTCCCCCATTTTACTACAATGGTGTAGTCCTTCATAAGGAATCATAATTCTATTAGTCTCTTAAGTGTACCCCGACATTGTTGGTACAGACAATGTCAGACAGTCCAGCATCCCATTGTCTATACATGTCCAACAGTTCATTGGGAATCCATCTTTTGTCTGGATGCAGGAATGCATGTTCCATTATTCCCCCACATCTGTATATGATAGACCCCAGTACTCCATCACTACACATTTCCATAGTTGAGAAGCCGTGAAACAAGGTCAAAAACTGGTGTGAGTTAGAACAGCCACAGCAACAACATGAACAACAAATTACAGCACCATGAAAAAAAACTCCACTGAATAACCAACACATGAGTGACAAAAAGGAAACACAAAAGTCTCTTGGGAAAAATGATGCCACCATATAATCCATGAGCCAGTGATGAATTTGACAAGAGAAAAGGAATTATTTGGAATAAACAAAACAAATTTAAAAAAACATCAAAATGCATGGGATACAGCCAAAAAAGCAAACAACTAAAATATAGTATGGATCCGATTATCGAAGTTACACTTTCCATGCTGGTTTCCTTATCTAAGAGAGAACATATGGTATTTGTTCTTTTGTGACTGACTCATTTCGCTGAGCATGATGGTCTCTAGTTGGGACCACCTAGTTGTAAATGGTATAATTTCATTCTTAATAACTGAATAATGTTGCATGGAGTAGATGTACCACAGTTTCTTTAACCACTCTTCTTTGGACACACATCTGGATTGTTTCCATG